GGATGGATGGATGGATGGATGGATGGATGGATGGATGGATGGATGGATGGATGGATGGATGGATGGATGGATGGATTACATGTCACATTACATTCATATTTGCAACAAAGCTGTACATTATTTCCAGGGTCACCAACCTGCTAATATAATTTACCAGATTTAGATTTATTTTTTAATTACTTTAAGATATTCTAAATCAAATCAAATCTAAATTAGTTTGGCATTTTTTGATGCTGTGAACTCTCTTTATTAAACTTGTTCTCAAGAGGTAAAATAATAATTCTGTAAAAATGAAAGGCATGACATTGTTTGAAAGCAAGCATGCCTTTTCATGCCACATTTTGAAAGTAAAGCTCTTGCATGATCTGTTAGCGCTTGGAGAGTGAGTTGAGTATGACTTTTAGCTACAACCAAACCAGTTTTCTAACCTAATATCTGTCAAACTGATACAGCTACAGCAATATTTGTGTTTACTAAAGTCATTTAGCTAAGATCGGCCATGTTGACTTATCTTGACTCCATGGGTTAATCAGTTTTACTTCTACATCAAATTACTACTTACTGACAAATTCATACAAATCCATGAAGTGGCTCAAATGTTTTGCTAACAGAAAGGCAAGGTTGACTTCAACAGTTAAAATGAAAGTTATGAACCTAGATTTTGTGTTATCTGTAAATGCTCAGAGTATATTTTAATGACTCTCTACTGCAATACAAAACTAGTTCAATATTTGGGTAGTTGACTGAGTTTTAGTCATTTATGTGAACATTAAAATTAATTAACTGTGGCAGCATTCTTGATTCAGGTTGACTTCAAAAGTTAAGTTGTAGATGTACCTCTATTAATTACTTGTGAATACCTACATGTTGGGTGATTACAGACATATTTTGCTAACAGACAAACACAGAGAAGCAATTACAAGATGGTTTATGGTGACAAAGTTTAGTAAAGACTGGCAATACAAATAAGTTCCTAATCATTATGTCTGAATTAACTTATTTTGAACATCAGAAAAGCTGATTTTTAATGCTTTATAAATGCGCATACTGCCCTCTAGTGGCTAAACGTCATACATTCACTTTCACATCATTTGTTTTCCTGATTCTCCTGTACTTTAGTGTTTCTACCAGCAGAGGGTGGTCCTGCCACAGTTATTGTGCCAGTTTTATTTGATTTCTTTGCTCATGAGGTTAAACTCAGTCACGCATCAGTCACAAGACAAACTGCTCCATCTGTACGGAGCTAAATACATCTGACCTGCTGCAGGAACAGGCTGAACACACGTCTAATGTGTGCATCAGACAGAGAACAAAAGTCATCACGTGCAGCCACCAGCAGCTGCAGCAGATGGCCTTTAATAAACCAATCATCATTTGTGATGCTATTGGCCATTCAGTTTTACATTTAGGCCTACATGTTTCCCAGCAAACCAACAGATGGCTTCCAATGAACGCTCGGGGACGACCTCCTGGTTTCTGTTCCTCCTTTTAACCAACCATTTAAAAAAGCAGAGGAAATAAGAGGACACGTGATTGGAGAGGTGTTCTTTTTTTCTTTCTTTTTTGGTCTCGTGACACTAAAGAAGCTGCCAGGCTGAAAGATTTGCACCATATGGTGCTGAATTAGAGTGCAGAAGTTCATGTTTTCTTTTTTTTTTTTTTTTTTTTTTTTTTTCAGTTAAAATTCAGCCACACTGGGGAAACTTTGAAGAGCTGCTACAGTGACAGGATAAAAACTAATGAGCTGGATTTATACCCCCAAACACTAAAATTTGTTATCATCTCTGGGAAAAGGGGAAAGTGTTCAGGTTCACGTGTTTGTGTTTACCACTCTTTCTTAAAGAAGCTGAAATGTGCATGCAGCTAATATAAACTAACTGATGATACTTGTCTGTGAACTAAATATCTCAAAAATAACCAGACAACTTCTTATTATGTTATTTACAACTGATTAACTGTTGGAGAGTCACCCTGATTCAAGATGGCTGCCACAGCCGGCCTTAACAAAAGCAATAAAATGTTATAAATCAGTCAGTTGTACAAATGTTGGGCTATGAAACTTTTTTGATTTATTGACTCTAAAAGAAATGTTTTAAGTTCTGTCAGTTTAATGCTGTGTTATCGCACAAAGATGCCAGTTTCAGACCATATATTAGAAATAAACGGGTTGTTTTAAAAGGATGCACTTTAACCCTCACATAAATTGATTAAATTCTCTTTTTTATTATATCTAAAAGTTTAGGGCTGTGTTCTAAAAAGAAATACGCAAAATGAATACCCTTGCTCTTTTTTTTCTATTTGCAATTTGTTTTCATCCTCCAGTAAATTGAATGATGCACCTACCTCCACCTTATCTCACCCCATGATCAGAAGTAGCCCTCTGTGGGTCAGGATTGGCCCGCAGGCCACCATTTGGTGATCATAAAAGATTTCTACTTTTGTGCCTAATTTTTAAAATAAGCCCTAATTTGATTCTACGCAGACAACATAAGTGTAAAACCTCAGGAAAATAAATCCAATATTCAAAACTTATTTTAAACGTAACCATTTTTCTGTAATGCAATGTAACCACAAGAAAGTAGCGACAAACTAAGGAGAATTCTGAATATTTTTAATATTTTTTTTCCAGTTTCTTTTTCTTTTCTTTTTTTTTCAACAGTTGAGGAACAGGACAAAACCAAATAACGTTTTACAAGCTGTCAAACTCAGTGAACTAAAATACAAACAAAAAAATAGGAAGACATGACGACGGAAGCTTTAAATCTCTATACAAACAAACAAAGCATTTGTTCAGCATTGTACCTGAAATGGACAAACGCAGGACATTTTTAAAAAACACAAACTTTGTGGTTCTCTCCTTTGGCTTATTACAATGTTACTGGAAGAGACTTGCATTATTTCCACTCGTTCCTCACTGGGATATTCTTATTTTTCCTTACTTATGGGGCATTCAGTGATAACCTGCTACATATCTGTTGTGTGCTACATCCCTAGTCATAGAACAAGAAAAATATTTCTATTAGAGTGCAAAGATGCCCAGAGCTACTCACTCCATTTTCTTTTTCTACTGATAAATAATAAAAAGGATTTTTTTTAATGCACTGTGTAAAGAAGCCACAAATCTTAAAGTTCTTAAGGCTTTTTTGAATATAAAAGTTTTCTGACATCTTTTGTCTATGGCATATAAATTGTAGGGTTTTATTGTTTAAAAGCAGGAGCAAAATCCACTGAGAGCTGGTCCTCTCCTTTTGCTGAAAACAAACAAACAAAAAAACATACAGTCTTATGCAAAATATTCAAAATACCTTTTGTCCAAAAATGTAGAGCACTCATGCATTCACATTGTGCACTTTACGTTCTCTTTAGCATGCATTGCACCTTAGCTTACACGCAACCAAAACAGCAGAATCAACAACAAATGCATGGTTAAAACAGAGGAAAGGGTAAAGTTATTCTTATTATTACCCTGAACAGACAATTTTTAATACTGGCATGCGCAATTGTTTTTCAAAAAGTGTAACACAAAATACAACCGCAATTTCAAAAATGTTGGAACACTTTGAGAAAATGAGGGTTTGCAAATCTCATAAACCCATATTTTAGAACGTAAAAATAACTTAGTAAACATATCGAATGTTTAAACTAAGAAATTGTACTTTATTTTTTTTAAATATCAGGTAGTTTTGAATTTGATGGCAATGACACAACAACAGTTGGGAGTGATTCTGTTCTAGAGGGTCTTAGTAACGTTTCCATAAATGTTTGCCTGTAAACACAGTTCACCAAGCCACCCAGAAATGCTGGTTAAAGCTCTATCATGCAAAAAAAAAAGGATCTAAATGTGAACGCCATCCAGAAATGTGTCTGTCTCCTCTGGGCCAAAGCTCCTTTAAATGGACTGAGGCAAAGTGGAAAACTGTGCTTTGGTCAGACTAATTGAAATTTGAACTTCTTTTTGCAAATTACGAAAATCACATTCTCCATACTGAAAAGGAGCGGGACCATCAGGCCTGTTCACACAGTTCAAAAACCTGCCATTCTGATGGTACAGGAGTGTATCAGGGCCTCTAGCATAAAAAAGACACCAATAATGCAAAAAAATGTAAATTGGTTTTAGAACAACTGAGAAGACTGTTGCTGAAAAACATCCAACAAAAAAATGTTAAAATGCTAGAATTCATCATCTGACAAGATTGTGAGTCAGTGGTGGGCAGAGCTAACCAAAAAGTAAGCTTCACTAACCACCAATCTACTAAAGCTCATGTCAATGTGGCTCGCCACAACATTTTATGTGGAAGGTGAGAGTGTATGCAGCTTTAAATCCAGCATTGACCGTAAACTACATCTCCCATAATGCATGTCAAGCATTTTCCTCACAAAATGACAGCATCCTACCATGTGTGGAGGTGCACAGGTTTCAAAAGCGTCTGACAGCTGGCAAAATTTGCTGTTTAAAACCTCCATTTTGCTGCATCTTCACCAGCTACTTGTGTTTGTAATATGATTAATATGATCAAATTCTGTTTCTATGCAGGAAATACCAAGCAGAGCTCAGTTATTTTTTTTTATCGGTGCTCAGCCATAGCAGCGAGATGAGGAACACGTTCCATGTTTAGTCTAAGTTAAATGTTATGTCAAGAAATAATGCTTTGAGGCAACCCTGATGCTCATGTGGCCCTCTGTGAAAATTAGTTTGACACCCCTGCACTAAACAAACAAACAAAACTGTGGAAGCTAATGCTAATGCTAACCGCTAAGACCACTACTTAGACTGTGTCACAAGTCTTCATCTCCTTCCAAGAGAAGGATATACTGTGTGTATATAT